GTGTGTGTTTGTATATATATCTGCTAGTACAATTATGCTTGCATATATATACATGTGTATATATGTTATTATGGGTGTTTATACGTGGTTGAATATATATGGTTATATATATATATATGTGTTTGTATATATATCTGTTAGTACAATTATGCTTGCATATATATGCTTGTGTATATATGTTATTATGGGTGTTTATACGTGGTTGAATAGATATGGTTATATATATATATGTGTGTGTGTTTGTATATATATCTGCTAGTACAATTATGCTTGCATATATATGCATGTGTATATATGTTTGTATAGGCTTATGTCATCGAATTCCCGTAAGTTTATATCGTTGATGTGTCAGATGGTTTATGTTCAACCCGTTCTGCTCAAAGACATATACGTTATATGTCTTACGGAGGAGTTCGCTGATACCAATGCTCCTACTGTTTGTTAACTGCCACCAGATTACAGTTCACAGACATATACGTCAGACCATTGTAAAGTGTTGTGCTCGTTTGCAATAGTCATGTGACACTCTTTGTAGCCAGAGTTTATATATATAGCCGCATGTACCCTTTGTAGCCAGAGTTTATATATATAGTTGCATGTACCCTTTGTAGCCAAAGTTTATATATATAGCTGCATGTACCCTTTGTAGCCAGAGTTTATATATATAGTTGCGTGTACCCTTTGTAGCCAGAGTTTATATATATAGCTGCATGTACCCTTTGTAGCCAGAGTTATATATATAGCTGCATGTACCCTTTGTAGCCAGATTTTATATATATAGCTGCATGTACCCTTTGTAGCCATAGTTTATATATATAGCTGCATGTACCCTTTGTAGCCAGAGTTTATATATATAGCTGTTTGTACCCTCCCTTTCTCGTAGCTAAACACTTCGCAGCCGCTGGCGAATCTCAACACGCGCACGACTACTTTGACATACTCTATGCTGTTGTTGTCTGTGAATTGGTTTTATTGTGTATGACACAAAATGCTCTCATGTCGGCTCCACCACTCGTATAGCATTGAAAAAGCACCTACGACCACTCAGACACAGGATTGTATATATTAGAATTTTATTTTTGGTAGTAGTGTGGTAGTTTCTGTCTAGTATGTAGCATATTACCTTTGGTAGTAGTGTGGTAGCTTCTGTCTAGTATGTAGCATATTACCTTTGGTAGTAGTGTGGTTGCTTGTCTTGTATGTAGCATATTACCTTTGGTAGTAATGTGGTAGCTTCTGTCTAGTATGTAGCATATTACCACATTCCTAACAAGAGCTTGCTGTGTGTGTATGAAATTTCTAACAAGTGCTTGCTGTGTGTGTATGACATTTCTAACAAGTGCTTGCTGTGTGTGTATAACATTTCTAACACGTGCTTGCTGTGTGGGTGGACTGATTCAGGTGGCACGTAAAGGGGAGATGGCGGATGATATGTTCACAACTGAGGATATCAAGAACTGTATGAAAAAGGTGGGTACTACAGGGGCGTTGCTTACCTTGATAGACCTTTAGTACCGTCTGTTTTTGACCATGTATATGCACAAGTAACCGTCTGTTGTTGACCATGTATATGCATAGGTAGCTGTACATAAAAGGTGGGTGCTACAGTGGCGTGGCTTACCTTGGTAGACTTTTAGTACCGTCTGTTGTTGACCATGTATATGCATAAGTAACTGTATATAAAAGGTGGGTGCTACAGGGGCATGGCTTACCTTGATAGACCTTTAGTACCGTCTGTTGTTGACCATGTATATACCACTCTATGCTGATACGTCCCAAAAGAGGGTTGTACCTGATGTTATGTACTCATTACTATGAGTAAGTCTATGCTTGTTATGCTATGCGTTAAGTGCCCAGTTAACCTGACCTCTGTTGGCAGATCTACCCATCATTCCACCTGTGTACACCAGCGCAGGAAATGCCGCAGATATGAATGGTATGCCATCCACACAGATACCGTTAAAAGAACGCTACTGACTTTCAGTTGGATTTAAATGTACACATTAAACTCTGCCCTTCTCACTCACAGCGCATGGCATGTGGTCCCCAGTTTTGCACGAAATATGCAATGAATACATCATCATAGCCACGGTTATAGACAACGCTCGCAACATTCTGTATTAAAACATGCATAAATACGTGTGTATGTGTGCATATAAATTAATA